CGACCCTGAACCCACTCCAGACCCTTTTTTGTTGCACCCATAGAATCAAGAAAGAGCTATCAATCTGTCAATCCTTACAGACTTTGATTTCTCATAAGGTGCTGAAGGAGTCGTCTGGGTGTCGACCTCCAATCTCTAGTTGGCAGAGTTTACGGTTAAAACTAGGACGGTATCTGATCGTCTTCGATCCCCTAACTTTCGTTCTTGATCAATGAAAACATCCTTTGCAAATGCTTTCGCAGTAATTAGTCCGTCTTTAACAAATCCAAAAGCCTTCACCTTTGACAGTTAAATACGAATGCCCTCAACTATCCCTGTCGACCATTACCTAATTAATTAATTAGTCTCCATTGCAGTTCCTTTTTGGGAATACCTAATTTCTAAATCTGGTTAATTAAACCAACAAAAGCAACTACAATGGAGACTAATTAATTATTGGAGTCATTTGAGATCGACCTGTCTGCCTGGCTGGCTGCCTGGCTGACTGCCGGCTCAGCAGCTGGCTCGGTTTCGACCTCCAATCTCTAGTTGGCAGAGTTTACGGTTAAAACTAGGACGGTATCTGATCGTCTTCGATCCCCTAACTTTCGTTCTTGATCAATGAAAACATCCTTTGCAAATGCTTTCGCAGTAATTAGTCCGTCTTTAACAAATCCAAGAGCCTTCACCTTTGACAGTTAAATACGAATGCCCTCAACTATCCCTGTCGACCATTACCTAATTAATTAATTAATTAGTCTCCATTGCAGTTCCTTTTTGGGAATACCTAATTTCTAAATCTTGTTAATTAAACCAACAAAAGCAACTACAATGGAGACTAATTAATTAATTATTGGAGTCATTTGAGATCGACCTGTCTGCCTGGCTGGCTGCCTGGCTGGCGGTCTCTTCTGGCAGGCGTTCCATGGCCTGCAAGCCCGGGGTTGAAGGCTTTTGATCTAATTACTTGCCTGGATTCTCCGAGCCCGTAGATAGCCCGGCCTTCACGTCACTGCCGGTGTGCTGTCCGTCTGGGGGCTCTGGCTGCTTGGGCCTTTCTGCTGCAGGTCTCAGGATGATAGCTTCGTGGTCTTAGCTTTTCAGCAAGCCACAAAAATTAACCAAGAATCTGAACGAAGTGTTCCTCTCGTAATTACTGATTTCGATTAATTACTGTCGCAGCATCGAATTAGTTCATCAGGCTCCCTCTCCGGAATCAAACCCTACTTTTCCGTTACCCGTCTCGCTGGTGAGCTTGGCTGTCCTAGCCTGCCTCACTGACTATAGATCGACAGATGACAGATCTGGCTGGCTTTCTGAGTCTGGGGTTTAGGGTTTCAGGTTTAAGGTTCAGGGCTTAGGGTTGAAGGTTAACGTACTGTTCTGACAGCCTGTCTGTCTTTCTGTCTTGCTGGCTGCCTGTCTCACAGGCACCAGCACAGCAAGGCCCACGACACCGGTGGGCCTGCTTGCCGCAGCCTTGCCCGGACCGTGTTCAGTCTGACTACCTGTCTTTCTGCGTGGCTCTCTGCCGAGGCCGCATGGCGCTCCACATCCATGGGGTCGCAGAGCTGTCTGTCCTGTTTACAAAGGAACAAAAGATCTATCGCTCCCACTGCATGAAATTATCATATTTTACCCCATTGCCGATAGAGGCTGGTATGCGTCGGAGCCAAAGCTTGAGCGGGCCTGTCTGCCTTCCATGCAGGCCAACTTCTGGCCGAGGCGCCCAAGTTCCACCTCTGGATTCTGTCAAAATTCAGGCGAGCTAATTATTGATGATCTGCCTGCCTGCATCTCCTGTAAGGTGTACAGGATCTGCTCGAGGAGTTCCACCTACCGGATTGATTCCTATGCTTGTACTACGATTTGGCACAATCCAGCCAGCATGCACTAAGCTTGTAATTATGCTTGGCGAATTCGATGCAAAAAAAAATTTGCAAGGGGTTTAAAAACCCTAGGCCTTGAGGCTTGTACTACAATCCAGCACAATCCAGCCAGCATCCGTCCTGTCGAGAGACGTTGCTCTAACCACTAAGCCAAACCCACCCTGGTCACGGGGGCAGCATGTTTGTTCAAATGATTCTTCAATCCACCTCCCCAGGGTTTTCATAGCTCAGTGGTTAAAGATCTGGCTCTTGTCAGGCTACAAGGATGACTACGAAGACCGGGTCAAGGACGACCCGGACGAGATCCACAAGCCTTTTAGGTGCCTCAGGGTGTGAGGTTTATTCCTCGGTATTGCAGGGGGAGTGACCAATCACTCGGTGGGACCCTGAGGCAACAGCGAAGATCACAGCGGAGGGCCCCTGAACCAAAGCATCCATTGTGGAGGCATGTGGTATCAACACCCAGCCTTCCACCAGTGTGCTAGAGGAGCATGCTTGGCGAAATGGATGCAAAAAAATTTTGCAAGGTGTCTAGAAACCGTAATTAATTAATTTGATTCATTTGGCAAATTCCAGCCAGCCTGAAAGACGCTGCACTTCCAGCAATTACGAGTTTTCACCATCATCCCAGCAATCCAGCCATCATATGCCCTTGAGACTTGGAATAACATGGACACCGTAGCTCAGTGGGCAAGGCGTCGACTCCGGCCAGGTTCATGTATTGTATGCGGGCTCGATTCCCGGGCCCGTCATTTTGGTTTTCCCGATGCGGATTGAGGTTCATCAAAGGGACTCAAGCGAGCTAGACAGGATTTGCCAGATCCAAAAGGGAATTGGCCGAGGCCTCAAGCCAAAACAAATTTTGGCTCAGTGGTTAGTAGTGTGGCCCATGATGCCCAGAAAGATCAGGAGAATTCCTTCGCCTGTTAAGAACAGCGCAAACCACAGGGGTTTATTCTTTGAGCCAAGCTTCATTGCTGATTTGGGTGTTGTGGGAGTGTTGTGGGAGTGTTGTGGAGTTGTTGTGGAGGTGTTGTGGAGGTGTTGTGGAGGTGTTGTGGAGGTGTTGTGGAGGTGTTGTGGAGGTGTTGTGGAGGTGTTGTGGAGGTGTTGTGGAGTGTTGTGGAGAGTGTTGTGGATGTAGGTGTTGTGGAAGTGTTGTGGAGGTGTTGTGGAGGTGTTGTGGAAGTGTTGTAGAGGTGTTGTGGACGTGTTGTGGAAGTGTTGTGGAGGTGTTGTGGAAGTGTTGTGGAGGTGTTGTGGAGGTGTTGTGGAGGTGTTGTGGAAGTGTTGTGGAAGTGTGTGTGGAGGTGTTGTGGAGTTGTTGTGTGAGGTGTTGTGGAGGTGTGATTTGGCACAATCCAGCCAGCATGCGAAGCGAGGCACATCCAGTACTAAGCTTGTACTACGATTTGGCACAATCCAGCCAGCATGCGAAGCGAGGCACATCCAGTACTAAGCTTGTACTACGATGTGGCACAATCCAGCCAGCATGCGAAGCGAGGCACATCCAGTACTAAGCTTGTACTACGATTTGGCACAATCCAGCCAGCATGCGAAGCGAGGCACATCCAGTACTAAGCTTGTACTACGATGTGGCACAATCCAGCCAGCATGCGAAGCGAGGCACATCCAGTACTAAGCTTGTACTACGATTTGGCACAATCCAGCCAGCATGCGAAGCGAGGCACATCCAGTACTAAGCTTGTACTACGATTTGGCACAATCCAGCCAGCATGCGAAGCGAGGCACATCCAGTACTAAGCTTGTACTACGATGTGGCACAATCCAGCCAGCATGCGAAGCGAGGCACATCCAGTACTAAGCTTGTACTACGATTTGGCACAATCCAGCCAGCATGCGAAGCGAGGCACATCCAGTACTAAGCTTGTACTACGATTTGGCACAATCCAGCCAGCATGCGAAGCGAGGCACATCCAGTACTAAGCTTGTACTACGATGTGGCACAATCCAGCCAGCATGCGAAGCGAGGCACATCCAGTACTAAGCTTGTACTACGATGTGGCACAATCCAGCCAGCATGCGAAGCGAGGCACATCCAGTACTAAGCTTGTACTACGATGTGGCACAATCCAGCCAGCATGCGAAGCGAGGCACATCCAGTACTAAGCTTGTACTACGATTTGGCACAATCCAGCCAGCATGCGAAGCGAGGCACATCCAGTACTAAGCTTGTACTACGATGTGGCACAATCCAGCCAGCATGCGAAACCAGTTCTATTACCACTAATTACTACTACTACAACTAATTAATTACTACGACTACTACTACTACGACGACGACTGCCAATGACTACTGCTAGTACTACTACTACTACTACTATTACTACTACTAGTACTGATTAGTTAATTACTAAGTACTTACTCCCAACTTCCCAGCCCTGAACTCCCTGAAACCTTGCACACTCACTGCCTCGCTGCCTCTGAGCCCCACCCCACCTTCCAACCTCCGAAGAAGCCCTGAACTCCCTGAAACCTCGCGCACTCACTGCCTCGCTGCCTCTGAGCCCCACCCCACCTTCCAACCTCCGAAGAAACCCTGAACTCCCTGAAGCCTTGCACACTCACTGCCTGGCTGCCTCGGAGCCCGAAATCACCTTCCAACCTCTCAAGCAACCCTTTTAATTACAACCCCAAACCCTTGTAATTAATTAATTTCTTAATTATGGTTTAGGATTTAGGTTGAGGAGGAAGGTTTCGAATCAGCCTGTCTGGCTGTGGCTGCTGCTGCTTCCTGGCTGGCCATGCTGACTGCCTGCCAGCATTCATCTTTGTGAAAGAATTTTAAGGGCTTTCTTGAGTCGCCCGGCCTGCTGGTCTGGCTGTCTTCTTCACAGGGGCTTTCCGGTCTGCTGCTTGCTGGCTGCGAGCTTCCACAACGTGTGCTGCTTGCTGGCTGCGAGCTTCCACAACGTGAGCAATGCGAGCAATCAGCACTGCCTGCCTCTCTGAAAAACGGGGCACGGACTCGCTGCAAACTGCAAATCCCCTCTCTCTGACCACAAAAGGTTTAGGTTTGGCTGCACATCCATGAATAGAAGAGCCCACAGAGTTTAGGGCCGTTTAGGCTAAGGCAGGTTTTGTTCGGAACGGTTTCCACCGAATAATTAATTACTCTGCTAGCCACAGCTTCTTTGTGGGCCCGTACACTGCTGCACTGCTGACACGGCTGTCTGGCGGCAGGTCGCGGGCTGACACGGCTGTCTGGCGGCAGGTCGCGGGCGCCTGGCCAACAGGCACAATCACTATCTGCTTCTATCTGCTTGATTGATGAGTCAGCGATTCCCACTCTGAAGGCGATTTTTTTTCTTGCCTGCAAGGGTGTGTCTCTGTCTGGCTGTCTAGCTGTCCGGCCACTGCCTTGTCTGTCTAGCTGTCTGGCTGACAAGAGGATGGAGGCAGAGGTCGACGGCCACTGCCTGCCTGCCTGCCTGCCCTACCACTTAGGGTCAGGCGCCCCGTGGGGCTTGCAGGCACGGCAGAAGTGCGGCCAGTGGCCGTCCACCTCTGCCTCCATCCTCTTGTTGCAAGGTTCGGCCTTGCATTTCAAGCATTGGACAATGCAGAAGTACGTCTTCTGCGCATGGCTGTACCTGCCCCTGCCTCCGATCTGTCTGCCTTTCGCCACAACCAGTCCAGTCGACGGGATTGGTGGGCTGTCTGTCTGGCTTTCTTTCTCCCACTCCCACCAAGGTTTGGTCGACCACCAGTCTGACTGGCTGCCCCAATCTGACTGGCTGCTCTGACTCTGGCCAGACCACTGGCTCGTCTGTGGCGGAGCTGGCGGAGCTGGCGGTGGCGCTACCTGGTCTGCCTGAGTGTCTTTCGGCAGCTTGTTCTTTGTCGGCGGCCTGCTCTTGTCTCTTCCTGCCTGGCCTGCCTGCTGGCCACCACCAGCAGCGGCACCTCCTGCCTGGCCTGCCTGCTGGCCACTACCTTTAGCGGCACCGCTGTCTGTCTTGTAAGGGTCCACCTTGCCCCTCTTGTTGCTCACACTCCTTTTCCGAGGAGAGGCCTGGCTGGCTTGGCTGTCTGCAGGTGCGGCAGATGCAGCGGCTGTCTGCCCTGAGTCCGTCTGTGTCACTCGCTGGGCCAGGCAGTCCACCAAGCTGTGACACAGTCGTCGGACTTTCTCACTGTCTATCTGGCGTCCAGCTGTCTGGATGTCGCTGTCGGAGAACTTGCACAAGTACTCCAGGGCTTGCAAGGCCATGGCTGTCTGTCTGTCTGTCTGGCTACCTTTGTCTGTCTCCCACTTGTCTGTGTGTGTGTGTGTTCTCACCTAATTAGTTGTGTTCTGAAAGTAAATCCTGTGTTGTTCTTTCTGTTCCAGGCTCGCTGCCCAGTGTGTGTTTGTGCCTCTCTTCTAGCTGTGTTCTGAAAGTAAGTCCTGTGCTGCTACGTACTGTTCCAGGCTCGCTGCCTGGATTGGAGCAGCTTGCTTTGCAGGTCGAATGGCAAATGAAAGCACTCCTTGCATGACTGAACAGGCTGCCTGCTGAAATGAACACAGCAATGGATTCGGCCTGCACCGTCTGTCAGGCGGCTTGCTGTCTGCCCAGGAAAAGACGGCCTGCATGCTTCTTTTCGGCAGGAAACAAACTTTGACGGAAAGTCGTTCGTGTCTATCAAATTAATATCACTGAACAAGCCGTCTGGTGTCTGCACAATCGAAGAGAGTCGGCCTGCAGCGGCTGTCAGGCATCTCGGCTGGCTGTCTTCCGGCAAACCCGCCCTGCATGTTTCGTTGGAAAAGGAGACTGAGAATGGAAGACGGATCTCGGCTGGTAAAGTTAATTAATTACTGAATTGATTGATCTGGTTGTCTGTGCAAGCGTCTCAAATGAAGTCCTGCCTGCGGAACTTCCTTTCAAGTCAGCTTTCCTTCCCGGCTGGTGCGAGCGGTCTGTGGAAATTATGAGAGATGTTGAAATCCAGATAATTAACAAATGAAGTAGAACTAAGTAGAACTAAGTGAAAAATAAAACTCAAACTAACCAAGTAATTATCTGGTGCATGAAGGACGAAACTGATTATGTTTCAGTAAATAATGAATGAATTAAGCTCGTACTACAAGTCAGCACCATCCTGCCCAGCTTGCGAAGCGAGGAACATCCAGTACTAAGCTTGTCCTAGGATTTGGCACAATCCAGCCAGCATGCGAAACAAGGCAAGCAGGCCCCGCCAGTCTTAAGCAGAAGACCATCGAAAACCTACTGCCGTGCGGTTTGCGCTGATTTACCAGTAAAGGTAATTCTTCTGATCTCTGGCTCGGGCAACAAGCCCACTTCTTAACCACTGAGCCAAAATTGGTTTTGACTTGCAGGGTCCAGCGGCCACCATTGGAGGAAGCCACAGGGCAAGCCTCACTGCAGTCGGACAGGAGACACTTCCAGTACTGAGAATATGAGCAAGTTGCAGCCAGCCAGTTCATCCAGCATCAGCAGGCATCAGCCAGTAGAAACCACCCAAACAAGACGCAGCCCGAGGGGAGTTCTCGGTGAGTTGCAGTTGTCGCCAGTCTCCCTGTCACTGATTATTTGCCAGTGTCCACATGGTCTGCCGGATCCGGCTCTGTGAGTGCTTTTTGCTCTTGCACAGATGAGTGGCCGCCACATCAGGTCGTTCTCCATGGGCAGCTTCTTCAGAACAGAGTCCACTTCAAGGCAGCTTCCAGTCAGCCAGGACAAGCTTCCAAGCAAGGGCTTAGGGTTGCCTACAGCCCTGAACTTTAGCCTACAATAAAACTACAAAGAGCAGCGGCTAACACCTCCAATGGTCAGAAATGGCCCGGCCGCGTTGGCCTCTTAGTGGCCCGCTGGGGACTCCCTGCTTGGTAGGGTCAAGGGAGGATGTACTAACCACTACGCTACCGGGACCCTGCCGCACAGGGTTGGGAAGGATGCGGTTCCAGTACTAATTAAGCTTGTACTGCGACTTGGCATGAGAACAACCCCAGGGGGACTTGAACCACCCATCTTTCCGTGGTTTACCCACAGAGCGCCTTATCCATTAGACCATGGGGTCCTCTGTTCAGTGTATGATTCTAGAGTCCATGCAGCATCCTTCGGAAAGCACCTCCAATAATTACTCCAAAGCACAATCCACCCTATTTCCGAAGATGCCCTTGTCGCTCGTCCATGCTGCCCAGGATCTGTCGGGCAGCCTTCCAGCTCCTGGCAGGCACGACGTTAACCACTAGACCATGAAAACCCTGCCGGCAAGGTTTTTGGCGACCGACCTTACACATGGCAATTCCCAGAATTTCTGGGCATCGGCACTGGGAGGCTCAGCAAAAGGGGGTGGCGACTCGGAACACTCACCGGAGACCCCACCGGGCTGCGACAATTGTGATCTCTCCGTGACTGAAGATGGTCCATCGCCCTCTCCGTTCCAATCCTCTGATAGCCTAAGGGGTGGGCGGACGACTCTCATTGGAATAGGTCCGCGGTTCAATCCCCGGCCTCGTCATTTAAGCTCTTTCCCCGCCTGGAATCGAGACTTTGTGTGACCAAAAGCTTTGAGCACCGAGACTTTGGGTGACCAAAAGCCCTGGGCACTCTGCGTCGAGAGTGCTGCAGACAAGCTCATTGCTGATTTGGGTGTTGTGGTAGGTGTTGTGGAAGTGTTGTGGAGGTGTTGTGGAGGTGTTGTGGAGGTGTTGTGGAGGTGTTGTGGAAGTGTTGTGGAGGTGTTGTGGAAGTGTTGTGGAGGTGTTGTGGAAGTGTTGTGGAAGTGTTGTGGAGGTGTTGTGGAGGTGTTGTGGAGGTGTTGTGGAAGTGTTGTGGAGGTTGTGGAAGTGTTGTGTGGAGTGTTGTGGAAGTGTTGTGGAGGTGTTGTGGAGTGTTGTGGAGGTGTTGTGGAGGTGTTGTGGAGGTGTTGTGGAAGTGTTGTGGAGGTATTGTGGAAGTGTTGTGGAGGTGTTGTGGAGGTGTTGTGGAGGTGTTATTTGGCACAATCCAGCCAGCATGCGAAGCGAGGCACATCCAGTACTAAGCTTGTACTACGATTTGGCACAATCCAGCCAGCATGCGAAGCGAGGCACATCCAGTACTAAGCTTGTACTACGATGTGGCACAATCCAGCCAGCATGCGAAGCGAGGCACATCCAGTACTAAGCTTGTACTACGATTTGGCACAATCCAGCCAGCATGCGAAGCGAGGCACATCCTGTACGAAGAAGTAATTACTGTAATTAATTAATGTAAAACTCGAGATGTAATTCATTATTTAATTAGTTGTGCACGAGATGGCTCCTGAGCTGCCTGGCTTTCCAAGAGCCTTCACCTTTGCTTTGGCCTTGGCCTTGGTCTTGGCCTGGGCCTCGGGTGCCTTTGCTGCCTCCTCTGCCTTTTTGTGTGCCTGGTTACTCATATACTTCAAAAACTGCGTTCTGTTGCAGCGAAGGCAGCCACTCAGAGCAAAACTGCAGTGGGCACAGCCAAAAACGATGGTGTCTCCTGCTGTCTGGCTGTCTTGCTGCTGACTCTCTTTCTGTCTGGCTAGCTCTTTGCCTCGCAGCAGCAGCTGAATCCAGCGGTTCAGCTGGCTGCTTCTGGCTGGCAGGTCTTTCACAAGTGGCTGCGGGGCCTCACCCATCCACCGCCGCCACTCCTGCTCCATATACAGCAAGACCCAGAGGCCGCACGAGAAGCCATCTGTCTGTCTGAGCAGACTGACTGGCGCAGGCAAAGGCTGGGCCTGTTTCTTGGCTGTCTGCAGCAGCACCTTCAAAACTGCACTGGCTTCCTTGTAGGCTGCCTCACCGGGCAACGTGTCATAGTACCTGACCTTCGCTTCGGGGCTGTCTCTGACTGTCTCGACCACCAGCAAGGACCAGTGTCTCGGAGGCTGGCTTTGCACGACTGCCAAGACCAAACCAGCCTGGCTGTCCATGGCTGTCTTTGCTGCTGCCTTGAGTGTATGTGTCTGGATAAGTTGCTTGGCCTCTGCTGGCCGCAAAACACACAGGCTGGCTGGCTCTGCTCCATGGGAGAGTCGGTATGCCATCTCCCTGATGCCAGCTTCGAGCTGGCTGTCTGTCAGCAGGTCTTCGTGCTTGTAAAGCCGCAAATCTTTTGCACTGGCTGCCGCTTCCTCGCTGGCTGCAGCACTGGGGAAAGACTCCAAATCCAAAACCAGCGGAAACTGTCTGTCTCTGACGTCCAGCGTAATGTCTGTGTGGCTGACCCATTCATGAACTCCGTCAGCATTGATCAGGACTTGGCTGTCTGTCTGCTTTCCACACACCACGATCTTGCCCAGCAGCGGAGCCAGGTCACCGATCACTCGAGCTTGCTTGCCATGCAAGTGTCCCTCACTGCCTGGCTCGGCTGCCCGTCTTTGAGCCTTCTTCGCCTGGTCTTTCTTTTGCTGCTTCTTGACCTGGCTGGGCTTCTTTCTGTCTGCCTTCTTCTTCTTTTTCTGGCCCACTTTGGGCACGACAGACTGCAGAGCCTGCTTCTTTGTCTTGCTGGCTTGCTGCTGTCTCCATTCTTTCAAAAGTTTGCGCCTCTTTCTGTCTTGCTTCGCGTTCTTGATCCTTTTTTCCTTTCTCTGCTGCCTGTCTGTCTTTGTCTGGCTGGTTGTCTGGTCCACCTGTTCCTGGAAAAGCCGTCTCCTCTCGTTCGGGTGGACCTGTCTCAGAATGACCTCTCTGAGCTCTCTTTCTGACTGAGCAAGGAGATTGGGCTTCGCTCGGAAGCTCAAGTGTATGTCTGTCTGGCCAAGCAGGTACGTAGACTCGGGTTCGAATGCATTGGATTCATCAAATGTCTTGCTGTCTGCCTCTGTCCACGGAAGCACCTTGCCTGTCTTGTCCACCCAACGAGACCTGTCTCTGAGGTGGTCGCTGCCTAGCTTGGCATTGCCTTCAGGGAAGTCCAGACACCATTCCTGGCTGCCACAGTCCTGAAGCCTGCCTTCACTGTCTGGACGGAAGTGGAACCAGCCTCCCTGCCGCATGCAGCGAAGGACTGTCTTCTCTGTCTCATTCAACTGCACCATCCTGGCGTGCATCTGTCTAGCTGCCTCCAGAATGTCTGCCGGGCCTGTCTTATAGGTGCACTGCACCTTTTGCTGTCTGGCTTTCTCTCGCATGCGCTGCTTCAAGTCTTCCTGCCACCTTTTGAGAGCTGCCTTGGCTGGCTGGGCGAACCCGATGTCTGTCACCTGGGTCAAGCCGGTGCACCCGGCTGCAATGCCTGTCTGAGC